CATATTTCAATAAGACAAAGGAGAAACCGCAGTCTGCATGCATTACAAAGGCAAGTCAAAATAAGAGGAGGGTGTGGATGCTGAACAGGCCTGCCAGCAGTCCTGACTTGTCCCCAATAAAAAAATGAGTGGTGCACTTTAAAATGTAAAAGATGAAAGCAAACAGCGTGTACTGTTGCGCATCTTAAGACCTGATTGCAGGAAGAATGGAAATAAATATATGTACCTTAAACACTTAATCAATTGGTGCCCTCAGTCCATGAACCTTTATTTAATGATTTAGAAAATGGTAACATTATGAAGGGGTAATTACTTTCCTAATCTTTCTTTAAAATACATTGCAACAATCAAATTTACAAGTCTTCATTTTGAAAAATCAATTCAATTCATGTATTGGAATACAAAATAATGTGCGGTTGTATTGTTTTCAACAAAATACAGGTTAAAAATCGCTGCTTCCAGTCCGAATTTTAATTCAAGACATTGTCCCAACTTTTTCCGACTTGGGTTTGTGGTTACCTTTTAGCTTGTTGAGTGGACACTTTCACCTCATTAGCAGCAGCTTTTGTCTATGTTGGTGAAAAAAATTATGTTCCTGGCCAGTGGACAGCAGGTCCTAGGCGCACAGCGAGGAACCCCAAAAACTGCCAGCTGCCCCCCCTTAGGTAGTGGGAGTGTCCAAAACACCCAACCCAAGCAAAGACATTTCCTTCACCCTAAACATCTCCATGTGAATGAGCCCACTGCACTCAGTGTAGCACTGTGAGGTTTCAGCCACACAAACTTGGGCTCCGATGGTTAAGCATCAGGGTATCGCAGTCGCACACTGGGGATAAACGCTGACGCGTGCGGTCGAAGATGCGGAGGCGACGAGGCGGCTGAATCAGCCCACAGGCGGCGCCGTCCCACACCGGCGCACATAATGACCGAAGGGAGGGGGGTTATTGATGAAACTGGTCTAATTACAGGCGCAGAGGTGTCTATTGCCGCAGCGACAGTGCACTCAAAGAAGCCTCATCGATCCCGTGGCCGTCGAGCGAATCTCCAAAAATCCTCCGGGAGGGGCTGAGCCGGGATTTCAACGCCGGCGGCCGAGACGCAGCCATCTTCCACGACTGACTGACACCTTAAATTCCAATTAGTAACACTTCCCTGGGATTGGTTTGAGTAATTATAGCCCTTCACTCCTCGCTGAAATCAAAATGGCTGGTGGGAAGCTGAGGGTGGGCAGGTTGGAATGTTGAGTAGCATGAGATTCATCTGCTGACCTTTTGGATGTTTCAGACCAGGGTAGTTCTTGTTCTGAGGCTGGCGAATAGCCCTGGTTGCTTATATTGTGGCGTAATATTTTATATCATGTCCGCATAAAATCAGTGGGCTGCTCCAGAAATTTGCCAACAGAACTCCTGGGAAAAATGCACACACAAACGCACAGATATCCGTACACATAGATGTGCACAAACACACAAACAACCATCAAAACACCAACACACCAGAGCTGAACTATGGGACACACATCATCTTAAATCAAGAATTATGACTCAAGGTTTTTTTTTTCTGCTTCCAGAGATTCTGGCTTCATTGAGACAGAGAGAAGGAGAGGAGTATAAAGCATCTGGTCAGGGTTATGTTTTCACTGGCAGCTCAACAGCAGAGGGGCGACTTTAAGAAGCCGCTAAAGAGCCGAAAAGCTGGAAACGCCGCCATTAACTCGCCCAGGGACAAACAGGGGGCCGTCATTATCGTCTGAAGGGCGAAGAGCGCGTTCATCAAGCTTCCGCCGAGCAGCAGGCACCTGCAACAGCTTGTCAGACCAATTCGTTTTTATTCCTCCTTCAGGTTCATTATTTGTCATTTATTTTATGAGGAAAAACGCCGCCGCTCATCCGGGATCGTAGCCAGCTTACAGCGCGCCCCGCGCGTTCAGAACCGCCGGCCCTCCGCCTACTTAGCATAAACTCTAATTAAAATAACTTGGCAGAACCGTTTGGAACAGAATTCCATACTCCTCGGATCACAAAAAAAGCAACAACAAACACAGCAGGCACACCAATTGGATGGACAAAGTCATAATGGTGGGGCTCTTTGTTATGCTAATATATATTCTTCAGTGCTGGTGAATACAGGGTATAATTTTACAATGGCGTATATTTTACCGCACACTCGGGACAACAGGGCTACGGATGAGACCAATAACTGCACATGCAATTCAATTGCGGAACCGCGATGCCTCTCGCATATGCAGTCCATGGGGGCATATTGATGTTAATAGCCTATCGTTTCTTCGTCAAATCAATGAGCACACGCCAGAATGGATCAAAGAGGAAGCCAGAGCCCAAGGTTATTCGGAGGTCAGATACTGTGGTAAAATAATAACTCCCAGAAGACGATGATTGAACCTGTTATTTTCTGCTTGGTGACGAGGTCAAAAGGTATGACTTCTGAAAACAGATCAATATCAACAGACGATTGACTACTTACACAGAGTTACACCTGGAGAGACTCCGACAAATTAATGGGTCAAAGTTTAAGAGCTCAAACTGCACAATTTATTTTGTATATCGGTTTGATAAATGCAAACCACAGAGTCACTGAAAAAAGCTTAGTCACTGGTATAGCAACTATCTATAGGTTGCGAAAGTAATTTGTGAAGAGTCAGATAAAGAACACATTGCATTGAGTGAAGGATATATCACAGACAGAGATTAATTATTCAATCACAGATGAAATCATATCTTATTCACACTTGCAAATAATGACAGCAAATGCGTGATGAAGATTTAAGACCATGATATGCACGTGTGTGTCTGTGCACGTCACCCGTTTCGTACCGGCAGCAACCATTTCACACACAATTCCCCGGTGTGCAGTCTTGCCTCAGCTAGCCAAATAGCTTCCTGTAAACGATCCATATAATGATTTCTGCTCTAATTGAAATTTCAACTGCACCTAAATTGAGTCGGGAATGCCAGTGCGATCCAGATCCCATCTAGGCGTACTGCTAATCAAGACAGATTCGCGAATTTGAATAAATATAGAGTTGCTCATTTCAAGGTAAACACGAATATCAATTTTGCCCTAATAAGAACCCTGGGGGCACACGGATGACAAATTAATGTGCTCATTTGCTACGGTGGAACCATTTGCGAATAATGTAATTCCAACTCATCAGAAATAAGCTCAGCTATAAAGGTATGCATCATCTGGGGAAATATTCAAATATTCAGCTCAGGAAAATGACACCAAGTCCATCACCGCTGTGATTGGGGGTGGTCCTATGATCTCTCACATCCTCGTTAGTTTGGCTTAAAGGGACTATTAACCTTTAATGGTCATTGAATTACCTTAAAAATGTATGAGGGACTTTAACTATCATAATTCTGAATTAATACAACATAATTTAGACAGTAGCTTGTACACAATCAATTTTCTCTTATTTCTCTACTTTGCTCATTAGCTGGGTTTCAGAAAGCCCCGGTCTTAGGCTATTACGCGTCACCTGTAACCTCATTTGCATCCCACCTATCATAAAGGGAGCTCACAGTCTTTCCGCAACTAGTTAAAATCAAAATAAATCCTGACCTCAATAGCCTCACAAGTGTAAGGAATGAGAGCAAGAGGAAAGCCTTCAAGGTCTGTGAGCAAAAGACAATAAAAATCAAATTGTAGCAGTTAATTTGCTATTTAGGTCAAGAGTAAATGTGCATATGAGCGCTCATGCTACATCTTCCAATGCTTGGCTATTTATGTGACCCAGGTTAGCACCATTGAGAGCACGGCAGTTGTAGACAGGTTACGTTTGCTAGCAGCTAACTTACCCTGAATTTTGTAATTAGGTTGTTAACGCTGATTCCTTCCAACCGTAAGTAATAAATCCATTATTAACCTTATTAATGAGAGATCTCAGTGTGAAGACCCACGTCAAACATTTTCATATGCTGATATGCTGTTTAGCTGGGAGCAGGAGGTGGAGCCTGTCGATAACGCTCATACAGTCCTGAACAGGTAGCAAGAGTAAAATTTAAGACTCATAAATTGTGGTGGAGGAAATGTTTTTCTCCAGATTGCCCCGAGTGCATATGTTCAACACTCCATGGTTAAATATAGCATGTGTCGTGGATGTTCAGTGTCGCTTCAAGAGTCTGATTTAGGGCACATTTTCAGATTTTGAATTTTTTCACTCTGCTGGCTTCTTCAGTAAGTGTAGCAACGCTGCAAATACTAATAAAACTGACAAGCAATATTTCAGTCCTCCACATAATCTGTATTCTCAATATTTTTGAGTTAAATCAGCCAAAATATTTCCCAATTAGAGTAGATATTTTGACCTGTTAAAAATGTGTCATAAGTAACTCAGGACTCAGGCGATTCACAATTAAGTAGTACTCCACAATCGTCCAAGCAAAATGGCTACTCCTCATGTTCATTCTAACACGGTTTCTCGTTGGCTCAAAGTGACTGACCAGTCTCTTGCACTGTCTAGGGAGGTCTGTTGTCGTTTAGCATATGATGAGAAATTTAGCAGGCTGAAAAATTTTCCCCCTGAGATATGACCTATTGTGATGACATTTTTTTTTCCCCAAAAAATTCACTTTGCCTTCTTTTTTCACTCACAAATAGAGACTGGATCGCGGTCTTGTGCCACTGAGGAATGCATTAAGGATGAGTGCACAGAGATGCCAATCAGAGGACAGTACACACAAGAGTATGCCTGAACAGGGATTCTGTCATTACTTCACAGACCAGATTAACCCCAGTTAGTTCTAAATGAGACTTAGACAGAATAGATGGAGGTTTGAGGAGGCAGGGGGTGGGTGGGGGGCGCGTCAGGGTGAATTCCCCCTCCCCTGCCAGCTCTATTCCTATTATACTGGCTAGACACTCAGTATTAGGAGCAACAAAATGATTACGCAGGGGCGGGCAAAAAGCTTTTCAACACTATTCCCAGTCTATACAAGACTCAACAAAAATTAAGTTTTATTTTGAAATTATACACCTTAACCATGGTGGCGCAGTGGATAGCGCTGTTGCCTCTCAGCAAGAAGGTCAAGGGTTTGAATCTGGCCCGGGGTCTTTCTGTGTGGAGCTTGAAGAGGCCTATTCTCTCCATGTTAGGGTGGGTTTCCCACAGATACTGTGGTTTCCTCCCACACACCAAAATCACACATGCTAGGCTAACTGGAGACTCTAAATCGCCACAACACTGCAAGGGATTGGTAAACTCTCCAGGGTGTGTACCTCCTTTTCACCCATAGTCGGCTGGGATAGGCTCCAGCTCTCCAGTGACCCTAATGAATTGTGGTTTAGATAATGGATGGATGGATACTTGAAGCCAGGGACAAAGTTTGGGGTTTGGGCACCCTGAGAAGATATAGAGACGACCGGCACATCCGGGTACTTCGCCAAACATCAAGGCCGCGCCCCTTTTCGGGGGATAGAAAACCTCAGATCCCATTGACCCTAATGTAATTTGATGTGTTTTCAGGTGCAAAATCGATCCGATTTATTTAACTAAATTTTCGGTTTATATTCATTTATTGATATGTCAAGCGAATATTTTGCTACCTTGCCCAAACCTGAGCCTTCGCGTTATCTTAATAAATTAAGGTTGATCGGTCCACCCTCTTGCCCTTTCACTACCGCGAATTTCGAAGTCTGTGTCAGTTTGGGGTTAAGAATAACTAACAAATGCACATAACGTTAGACCGCAAACCTGACTCGGTTGGCTGACGCTACTTTACGTTAGCTAGTTAAGCAATTAAAGAATAAATAATGACACCAGACAAAAATCGTAGCGCATAAACCTATTAAAGTATAGCACCAAGTCTTACATATTAAAGGGTACTTACGTTACTTTCTAAGTTTAAAAAAGGAGTGGCATGGCCTGTTATGAAGCGTTTCCCACACATATAAACATGGAAAGACACTGGATACATAGCTTTTAGTCTTCATCTCCTCTTAACTCTCCTTTTTGGATTCTTCCCTTTTCCAGGTAGGATGGGGAACCTGAGGTCCGGACTGGTAATTTTATTGGAGGTTCAACCCGGCACACAACAAATTTTGGGCATTTTACTTCTCAATTATCTCGCTTATTTCTCATTGATTTCAATGCATAAGATCGTTTGTTTTCCCCCAAAAAGGGGCGCGGCCTCTGCGCTGAGCTCTTGGTGACGTTGAACCGATCATCTCTATTGTTCTGAGTTCAGAGTTGTGGGTCCTCTCCAGCTAGATGCACCAGTCATCAGCTTTCACCCCACAGGTAACAGCCTAGCAGTAAGGCACTGTGCACATATCTTACCTGGTTTTCTTAACTTGAACAACCCTGGGTCCTGCATTAGGGCTTGCTATCTACCTTTGCATTAAAATTTCATCTTCGCAACTTCAACACTGCAGAGACTCATTCATATAGGCTTTATAAAGCAGCCATAATCTTCTAAGGGAACGATATGTGTTGATGCAATTCAAAGCACATAATCAAGCAGAAAAGTGTTTAAAATCATTAAATCACAATGAGCAAACTCAATGATATTGGCATAATCACTGAGCTTGAAATAATAAGAAACTCATCGGATATAGACAAGCAGAGGGAAAAAACTAACCTTTGTTTCTGAAAGGCGGGAAATGAGACAGAATGATTGTGTTATTGTACCGGATTTGATATTATTAGCAACATTTGTCTGTTCTCACGTCCGCGAGACGCGCAGCGAGCATTCAAATAGATGCAGCTCATCGCGTCGTTGAACTGTAGCGTCTCCCTAATTGTTTTATTCCATCAGCTGTCTTTTCATTCAAAATGAAAATAAAAGAAACGTGACTGATTGGATCCGTTTTGAAGCACCAGTGGCATACATAATTGTGGCCTCTCCTGCAGTGAGCGCCGGTAAACGGAAATAAACGCCTCCCGGCAGAGTTAAATGAAATAAAGGAGAACTGATAACGCGGGCGGAGAGCCGAGCCCGGCCTTGTCTCTTTAAACACACTGCAGTGGCTTAGCACTTTGAATTTATCACCGCTGCCAGCGGCCAAGCCAATCCAAACATTATATCACCCGCAGCCCCTTCCTCTGCACTGTCCCACGGACCGTATTTGCAGAGTGTCCCATTCAAACCTGCGACGAATCTTAAGCAGCATTTTTAAGCCGCACCTAGACGACGTGGAATCGGAAACCCGACCGACGCCGTGCACAAACTGCTCTTTTTCCTCATCTATTGTCGGCGTCTGGGGAAGCCGTTTGCAGTCACTGCGCAAGAGTAAAAGCATTGTGTTTGAATTTAACTAGCCTAGCCTCTGCAGTTGGCGGAAAAATGGAAGCAATCAACTTGGATCAAGACCATTCGCCAAATCCAAATGTTCTGAAGCGAATGTGTGAAATGTCCTTATCCGTTATGTGAAGTAATATTCTTAGGCTATAAAACTGCAATGGCATAAGAACGGACCTAACAAGCAAAACATCGACTCAATTGTCGAATGTTTTCCCGTTTTTCAAACAAATGGCATGCTTTAAAGTATTCATGAGACAAACTGGAACTAAGATCATTTATGAAAAATGAACATTATAGAAAGCCACACCATGTCTGCCACACTGTATTATGCGTCCTATATTGCCACAGCATATCACTTCTCACAGAAACAGCACCCTGCATGCTAGTTCATTTGAAATTTCTTGTAAAAGAAGCAAGTAACACGTCCTGTCCGATCTAAATGTCGTCTTTATTAACTGAATTTGGCTACTCCTGACGTGCTGTTAAGAATCATTGATATTCCGTCGCCATTACAAACTACCAGTTGGAAGTTTACAACATCATTTATTATTTATAAGTCATATGTAAAGCATATTCTCTTTGAAGCAGCTCCCCGCAGTCGAACAAAGCACTGAGCAACATTTTAAAGCAATTGAGAGAGCAATATGTTCAATCATATCAAGTCAGTCTTTAAAAGGAAACTGAGTGCATCTTTGTTGCTGATTTCCGAACAGGTCGCTTTTGATCACTGCGATCAATTTTTGGATTCTAAGTGCTAATTAGCTGCACACAGGATATCCAAGGAAGACATAATTTCTCCAAATCAGTGTACTGAGGGGGAAAAATGACCAAAAAGTACCTGCCCGTATATCTTCCAAACATGAGATCTGGCGGTGGTGGTGGACCGCGATCAGTACGGATAATCACAGCAAAATGGCGGTACCATTCACAAAACAAACCAGATACTCTTCAAATGGCACAAAGGCAAACTTTAAAAATAAATGGAACAAGAAATACACTGTTCTCCTTTAAGGAATGAGGATGTCGTCGGAGAGAAATTCAATCCAACATAAATAAGTTTTAATAAGTTTTCCCCTCAGTATCTTGAGTCCTAATTCCATCAGTCACTGTTTAATATCTTTTCCATTGGCAGTGAATTTGAAAACGCTGCGTCTGCCGCTGCAGAATTCAATCAATTGCACAGAGCAGGGGTATTCAAGCTTATCCAGAATAGGCCGGCGTGGGTGCAGGCTTTCGTTCCAGCAATGCAGCAATACACCTAATTCTACTATTCAAGGAGTTTAGCAAAGACTAGTCTGGAGTTTTACTAGTTGAATAGGGTTGAGGAACCAAACAAATCTGCGCAAACATGTTTTATTTGCTCTGGTAAATGCAAATAAAACGATTTGAATTTGCCTTACTGCACGGCTAAACCAAAAGCCAACACCCACATTGGCCTTTTCTAGACAATGTTCAATTCCCCTATGATCATGGCACAGTGCTCTCCGCCCTCACCCCCTCTTCCTCAAAAAAGGAATACACTTTTTAAAAAGGTAATTCAAAAAATAACTACCTGAATTATTATCGTCTCATTTCATGACAGAGCTGCGGCAAAGCTGCCAATACAGGCATAAAGGCAAAACCACCCTTTGGCAAAACCACACACGCATACAGAAACAATCTCTCGTCGACACACACTGCAAACTAAGAAATATGTCTTTGAACCATATTTAAAATGTATCTCAGATTTTTATTTAACATGTTATTGTAAATATTTTTTTGTATTCACGTGATGCCGCCGAAAGTGTTCTCGGACATGGCGGCCATTTTTCTTCCCTAACTTGTGTTTCTTCCGTAGTGAAATTATATCTCGCGATGCCAACATGAGTTGGTTTTGCTGTAAAAATTGTCCCGGGGTCAACAAAGGCCGTAGTAAGTGTAATACCCCAAAGATAATTTCTGACCAGGGTGACTAAACTAACTAGCTAAGGGAGAAAAGCAACGGTTGAGGAAACCTGCTTTAATATCAGAGATATTGTATCTGAAGTGGAATTGTGCCGTTTTGCGTTCAACCCATTTTGTCAATGGCAAGGTTACTTTATTATTTTCCTTTTCAAAAATGTAGCGTGCCACACTAAATAGGCATAAATATCTGGGAAATTAACTTTAGGTGTTATCAGTGCAGTACAGCTCCATGTAGGGTGACCAGACATCCTGATAAAATTTGAGTTGGTATTGATTTTAAGAGCCATGTCCCATGGCTTAATTATTAATTCTACCATAAATAAACCATTTCAAATAGCCTAATGTCATCATTGCTATTCCTCCAATTCTATCATAAAAAGCCTGTTTGCTAAAAGATATATCATCATGTAGCCTTTCACTACAAAACATTACCTACATTAGAAGTTCACATTGAGAACGTTTATCTATAACCGATAACAAGCAGTATAGCCTGTCTTCTTCTGCCGGGAGTTGGAATCCTGGTTCCAGAGAGAGATGAATCAAGAAAAGTGCATGAGTATGGACTAGCTCCATGAAAGAACTATATCTGCTACATACCATCAGACCAAATTTTTTGCCAACCGAAATCAAAGTAGGCTGAAAACATTTATTATTTATAAAATATTTGAAACAGCATGGTTCCAAGATGCAGTTAGAAGCTGAATGACAAATGATAACAAATAATTTGTGTGTAGGCCTGTACATGCACACTCAAATGGTCACACTTATATACACACTCCAGCCCAAAATTCGTATGTGCTCACTGTTTGACATAAGCAAGGTATGAGCCATAGTCCTGCTTCCTTCTATCAGTTTCCAAGGTGACCT